GAATCCTGGATCTTGGCTTGAGTGACACTTCTGTGTACTAGTTCTGTGACTTTGGACAAGTCACAGAAATGCTCGGAGCCTCAGTAACCTCTGTAAAATGAGGATGATATTTTCGCTAGTTCACAGGACCAAGTGATGACTAAATTATCTGAAACACGTACACACACACAGACACACAGACACAGACATACACACACTCTCCTAGCACGTTTGCTAGGTATGTGGTAGGCGTTTGATAAATACAACCTTCTTTAACCTCCCTCTCTTACCAGGATCTCAGACAATTGTCCTACTTTCAATACCATCCTCAGCCAGTCACCAGGTCAGGGGTCAGTCTGTAGCTAGGGTCAGGGCTCAGTGTGTGACTAGGGCTCAGTCTATGAGCAGAGCGAGGCCTTAGTGTGTAACTAGGGCTCAGTCTATAACCAGGGTCAGGCCTCAGTGTGTGACCAGAGTCAGTCTCATTCTGGGGTCAGGGTCCGGGCTCTCAGGCTTAGCCAAGAAAACCAAAGATCCTCTGAGTATGACTTTCTGGTCGTGATCTGTGCCCTGCCCTGCCCACCCTGGCCTGCGCCTAGCCTGCCGCACGTGCACAGAGGAAGCAGATCTTCCCCTCCCAGTGCTAGCTCTGGCCCTAGCTCTGGGCAGCAGGCAGTCAGAGAAGCAGCTGCCAACTGGCAGCCAAGCCATCCAGTCTTTGGCCAAGGGTTGGAACCCCACAGGCCATCTCCTGGCTGGCCCTTCCCCACACCCTGCCTGCTGGGCCACCTCCCACCTGTCAGGGCCACTACCTTCCTGGTCCCTGCTGTGCTCTGACTGGCAGGTCTCTCTGTGCCAGGCTGGGAGGCAGGTGCTGGGCACTGCTGAGGCCCCAGGGCCTTGAGCAAGGCCCAGACAAGTCAGGAGAGACCCTGGGCCTGGGTACTGGCCCAGGAGATCTGGGTGTGGAATCTGTCTTGGGCCATACAGCTGGGGCTCTTGTTGCCTGTAAAGAACTGAGACTGTTTCCCAGGCCAGAGCACATACCATCCCGGCAAGCCTGGAAGCGCATGTAAGCCAAAACTTACATCCTGGCCATGGGAGGACTGAGACTCAGAAAGGGGCAGGGACTGGCCTGAGGTCACAGAGGGAGTCAGGCACAGTGGGCCAGACTCTGGGTTTTCCTGCTCCCCTTCTGGCTTCTCTCCATGGCCCTGTGGCTTTCTTCCAATAGGTCTCACTTGCCCATCATAAGTGCTGCTAAGGGAAGCCTCACCTCCATGTCATGCTTTAGACCTGTCAGCATCTCCCACTGTCCGGCTCCACCATCTCTACAGCCCTTTGAGGCAGGTTCCCAGGTGAGGTATTCAGGCAGCCAGAGGTGAAGTAACTCTCCCAAAGTCACTGAGCAAGCTAGAAACAGGGCCTGATTCATTCATTCATCTGTTTATTCATTCATTCAACAGCTATTGACAGACTCCTCCGTTCCAGATCCTGTGTTGAACAGCAGGGATAGAATGGTGAGCAAAACAGACCTGGTGGTTCTCATGGAACTAACAGGGTACAGTGGGGGGAGGCACTGACAAAGAACAAGCCAATAAGCACAGAAAACACGTGAGACTGCAGCTGCAACCATGGAGAAGGACGTAGTCCCATGGAGGCACATAAGGGGGAGGATTTGGCCTGGTCTGGGAGGTCAGAGAGGGCTTCCCTGAGGAGGTGATGACTGAGCTGGCTCCAAAGAGGGGAGGGGAAGGGAGAATGTTCTCGGGGAGGGACTGTGCTAAGGCCTGGGGTGGGAGGGAAGAGAGTCTGCTCAGAGAACTGAGAGATGTCCGGTGTGGCTGGAGCAAAGAGAGGCAGGTGGGTTGTCGTGTTGCTGGGGAGCTAGAGGGGCTGGCAAAGTCCTGACCATGCTGGGCCTGGAATCCTCTTTACCCTGAGAGCAATGAAAAGCCGTTGGAGGGTTCAAAGAATGGGTTCCTTTAGTACTATGGTACCACATGGTACCTACCTTTGAAGGGGGTTTGAAAAAGGGCAAGATATTAGATGTACCGAGAGCAGAACAGTGTGGTAGCCTAAGGTGGCGGAGCTGGCAGAGAGAAGCAGCCAAATTCGAGACAGGAGAGAAACTGACAAGACTTGGTCATGGACTGGATGGGGGTGAAAAAATATGATTACTGACACCAGGATGGGGATGAGATCACGTGGAGAGAGAGTATAGAGAAAGAAGGGTCACCTAGGGTTGAAATCTGGGACAGGCCAACATTTAACACCAGGTAGAAGAGAAGAGGCATACACAGAAGAAAAGAGGGTAGGGCACCTTGGAAGCTGAGAAAAGAAAGGGCTGCAAGTAGCGTGAGTGGTCATGAGGAGGTAATGCCACTGAGAGACCACAGAAGATGAGATGCCCATTGGAAGTAGGGCCAGGCATGGCGATCACTGGTGACTTTAGAGAAAGCTATGTCAGTGGAGAAATGGGTTCAGATTGGAAGCAGGTCGATGGTTCAGACAGAAAGAGGCAGAACCACCAGAGGAACCCAGTGGACCTGTTGGTCTGGGATAGTCACCATTGGAGGACACATCCTATCACTAGATTGGCTCAAGGCTGGAGACCGCACAGGGATGAAGCAGCCATGCCCCGGAACTACGAAGTTCCTGTATTTGGACCTGAATCCTCTTCAGCTCCCCACTAATGGCTTGAATGAGTGAATGGCTTTGGGATGCTCTCAGGCCCGTGCTTCATCTCCTCCACCCCCCACCACATGGGCCTGCCTGCTGGGGGTGCAGCAAACCCAGAGAGGAGGGCAGAACTAGGCAGAGACAGGAATCCCCAGGATCCCACCCCCAATCTGAGGTGAGACAAGTGGCATGGCAGAAAGCAGGAAACTAAGCCAGGAGACCGAGCTGAGGGCACCAGAAAACATGGGCAACAAAAAGATGAGAAAAAATGTTTTGAAAGAATATGAAGTTATACATAGATATTTAAAATAATACTTAATATTATTTAATATATATTAAATACATATATATTTTTTAAGCATTGAAATATTCATCATGAGAAAAACGAAAACTTGAGTGGATTTGCTTACGCCTATTGTATACTTTGTTACTGGGTACTGTATTTGAAATCAGACAAACGGGGACATCCTATTCTTTCCAGGGTTTCCAGCTTCTGAGGGTCTTGCTCCTCCCTCTGGGGTTCTTGCCTGGGGCTGGGGGCTTGCACTGAAAGCCCCTTACAGGTCCTGACAGCTGGGCCTTCATCCTCAGAAGCCCGCCCTTCTGCTTTCATTTGCATCTCATTAGCACCCTCGCGGGCTGGAGGCAGCTCCGCCGCCTGGAGCCCTGGAACGCAGGCGGCAAGCTGGCCCAGGCTCTGCTCCCTGCCCCTCCCAGGGTGGAGATGGGTGCAGCGATGCGCTGCCCCCTCCTTCCCCCCACCCCACACCCCTCACCCAGGCTCGGCCCACTTGGCTCCTACTGCGCGTCCCCATGGCAACCGGGTGATGGCGCAGGTCGCGGTGCCTGCCGAGGAGCAACGCGGCCGCCGAGCTCCCCGCCCTGCCGCCCAGGCTGGATTGGTGATAGGCAGGGCCTCAATCTCCCGAGATGATCGGCGATAATTGGTTTATGGAAATAGCTGAGGGGAGAAGGCGAGCTCCCTGCCAAGCCTGCTTTCTGCCACCTGTCCTTCTTAACGATGGAAATGTTGTTGGGGGAGGGGAAGCCGGAGGAGCCTGGTGGGTGGAAATGGAGGTTTTGAGACAAGCAAGTGTTTCACCTGTTGGTCTCCAGTACACCTCTATCCCCCTTTCACTGTGTGGGGGGTCAGGGGGTTGTTGTCACAATAACCAGGTGTTCACCTCAGTCACTCTTTGACCTCTAAGTCTGTGCTCAGGCCTATGCTGGACATACTGTCTGGGAAATGGAGGAGACGTTGGATCCGTCCTCAGGAGCCCCAGTTTGGCTGACAGAGGAGCAGCATGTAATTTTATTTATATAAACTATGTCAGACCAGTGTGGCCATTGCTGTGGGGCTCTAGGAGAGAGAGCTCAACTCTGTGGATGCCTGAAGGAAGAAGCATCATGAGCAAGGCTTTGAAGATGGGATTTCTGTAGGTGTTGGGGAGAAGGCTGAGGTAGAAACTCTCTAAAAGGAAATGTGGGCAAAAGCCTGTAGGCAGGCACTGAGTGCTGTTGGTATTGGTGGAGGAGGGGAGATGTAGGGTAGCTTGGGGGAGGCCCGGCTGGCTCCCAATGTGCCTCCCAAGCTAAGGGATCACGAGCTGGTGGGAGGGGTTGCTGCACAGTGCTTTATGATCCAGACTGAGCAGAGGCCCAACATCCATGGAGAAGCTCACCGGCTGGAGACTCTGTTGCCCTTGATGCCCTTCCAGGAGAAGTGAGACCCATGAAGTGGGCAGCAAAGATGGCATGGCAGACTTCACTTGGATACCAGGCTATGAGAGAAGTGTGTACCCTGACTGCAGCTGGCTGGAGGCCGGGGGGTGGAGGGGACGCAGCCTGCGTTAAAGGGCCAGAACTAGGGAAGCCCCCACGATGGCTGGAGAAGTGGTGGGGCCCAGGAGGAGGATGGCCATGAGGACCCCACCCCAGGATTGGGTGTGGTGGGATGGGGCACCCAGAGGCTGAGAGAGGCAGGCCTCAGGTCTTCGCTTTTCTTTGACTACCACTTCCCACTGAGCCCAGCCTATGCCTCTGCATCCAGGGGGCCTGCCCGCCGGGGTTCGAGTTGTGGCCAAGCCCTACCCTGCTGGCTGTGGCATCAAGGAGTGGCTCTTCCTTTCTCAGTGAGCAGCTTCCCACGCAGGAGAGAAGAAGCCAGGCCTCACATTTGCAAAGCCCACAGCCCCAGTGTGATTCACACTTGGCTTTCCCCTCTGAGTATCACAGTCTCAGTCCTGAACATTTGGGTGCTCATTTTCCAAATATCCATACCCTGGTTTCTGCTCACAGCCCCACACATCCCCTGCCCCCACTGTCAGCCAGCTACTTACACTACCACATAGGGCCATGGCTCGGAGCCATCCTTGCAGGCAGGTAGGTTGGTGGCCCCGTGGAGAGTGACCATGATGGTTTCCTTATTAGAGGGAGACAGGTGGCCAATGACAGATTCCACACTCTGAGAGGTCTTCAGGGGGTCCTCTGGGCCTTCAGCAACCTGTGGAGAGAGCCAGGCCTGAGTGGTCTCTTCTGGTCTCACTTTGCTGCCCCCTATAACTCTAGTCCCTCACCGCTCCCCTCTAAGTGGCTGTTTCTCTCTGTCATCCCCCAACTCAGTCTGGAACTGCAGGGGCAGTCACCTTGCACCCCATTTTCTCCCTCTCCGCCCCACACTCCACATCTCTTGCAGTGCCTCTGGCCCCTCTCCCAGTCCTGGATCCATCCCTTCCTGCAAAGTGAGAGGGGCTGCCTCACCTTCCAGCCTTGGCTTTTGCAGGTACCCTTGCCTCTCATTCCTACATCCCACCTGCTTTTGAGGTCCTAGCAGCTGGCCTTCTTTGGTCTTTCCTGTAACCTCACCCCAGTCCACCTGCCACCTCGGGTCTTTCCTGTGTACGGCACTTTACAGTTTATGAAGTTTATCCACCCATGGAGTCACTCAACCCATTAATGGAGATGAATGAAGGTGTCTTGTCCCAGATGCCTCGTCCATCTTTTACCCAGAAAACACTGCGGACCAGGAAGGAGGAGAAGTGCCCGCCTGCACACGGTTCTAGGCATTTTCGCTGTAAGCATCTTTGCCCCAAGCATTTTCATGGCAAACATTTTCGCCTTATACTTAACTGATGGTAAGTCAATTGTGCCATAAAAGATAAAATAACTGGTAACAGTTTAGTTTCGTTTTCCCACTGACACAGTACTCCCATTTTTATATTCTACAAATCTTTGCTCCACATTTCCCATAGAACTTTGGAACATCTATAGATGAACAGGTGACAATATGCCAAGAACAACACCAGCGTAGGCTTTGCACAGCACAGTACCGAGCTCAGCTACAAATCCGCATCCTAGTATTTGGAAACCAGTACCTCTCTTAAGGAAGGAAGAAATTTTAGCAAAAAGGAAAAACTGCGATGGATGCCAAATGAGGAGATGAATCAACAAGCAAAAAGAAATGTATAATTCTGTGTACGAAAAACTTCAAAGACAAGTGCTTAGGGACAATCCACAAAATAAAATGTGATTTGTGCAGTATTGCCATGAATTTACACACATTTTAAATGTATTCAAATATTTTGTACTTTGCAATACAATCTTTTTAATTCTGTTATTCATTTTTCATCATCTCCTTTTCAATGTCCCTCTTTCGTTTTTCATTATTTTTATCTTTTATGGCAAAATTGCCTTACAGCCAATTAGTTATGTGGTGAAAATGTTCGAGGTAAAAATGCTTACGGCAGAAGTACCGGACACGCCTGCACACAGGTGCCTGAGGCTGGCTGCCCCGAGTGAACACATGGGCACCTCAACAGCTTGTGGATTCCCGGCCCAAAGGACCACAGAGTGATGAGAGCTGCTGAGAGGAGACAGAAGCTGCGGCTGGGCTGGGGCAGTCAGGGAAGGCAGCTGGGAAGAGGAGGCCTTCAAAGGTCAGGAGAACATGCGTAGGGGAGCCAGAAGACAAGCTGGAAAGCAGAACACTGGAGCGAGGCAGCAGAGCAGGGAGGGGAGGGACTTTCCGAGGCCCAGGGCAGGCTCAGGGTGACTCTGGAGGCAGTGGGGAATCAGGGAGGCTGGCAGAGCCTGGGGTTTGTGGCGAGTAAACACCATGGGGTAAGGGGGTGGGGGTGTGGACATGGGGCTGCTGTGGCTTGAGGCGGCCTGGTCCTCCCTCTGCACTGGCTGGCTGACCCTCAGTCCCAGTCCCTGGAGTTGACACAGTTGTCCCAGATTAACCCTGGCTGGGCCTCACCTGGAGGAGGCCACTCCCAGCCTTTGTCCCCTGCTGATTAATTGGCACCGGCTGATGTGAGGAGCCACAGAAGGGCCCTACTGGGCCTGGGAGAGGAGCAATGGACCTCCTCAGGTTGGAGATGGGACCCTGAGGGGGCCTCTGGGGGCTGACCCTCTCACCTAGAAAGCTCAGCCTGTCAGACCCTGAATTCCTGGGCTGGCCCTGGGAGGGGTGGGAGGGGTCCTCGGGGAGGGAAGGGTCCATGGAGACCACCGAGAACGATGTCTTATTACACAGAGAGGAGACCGAGGTCCACAGAGAAGTGGCCCTGGGTTCTGTGTGGGCTTTGTGCTGGTGGCAGCCCCAGCAGGCTGGGTCCCCTGGCTCAGTCCTGATGAGCACTGAGTGTCAGGAGAGCTGAGTTTAAACCAGCTCTTCCCCCACCGCAGTCTGGAAACCACCCTGCTTCCTGTGTGCGGGCCCAGGTTCCCCACACACTGTCTGCTTCCACCCTGAGCCTGGGGGTCCCCGGCACAGTGGCTCCCGGTAGCCTCCGGGCAGAGGGAGAGGGAAGGGCCCAAGGGCTCTCATAGCTGTTCCTGCCTGCACTCAGTTCTCACAACAGCAGCCTGGGGGGACATGAACAGGAGCCCAGCCCCATCAACCGCAATCCACCAGCAGGTCCTGCCAGCCCCACCTTCAAGCTGTGCCTAGATCAGATATCTTCTCACCATCTCCACTTCCAGCACCGGCCCAAGACATGGGATTTCTGCACTCCCTTCCTAACTGCTTTCTTGTTTCCTTTCTGGCCCTCCCTCCACCCTGCCCCATCTCACAGAGCAGCCAGGGTGAGCCTTCGCAAATTTTCAATCAGACCTTATCACTCCTCTGCTCAAAACCTGCAGAAGCTCTGTCTCCATCAGAACCTCTCAATGTGTAAGCCCCTACACGCTCTGGCCCGGGAAACTGACCTCACCTCGTCTGGGGCCCTCGCTCCCTCGCTCCAGCCACGCTTGTTCCAGCCACGCTGGCCTCCTAGCAGTTTCTCTGCCTTGCAGCCTTTGCACAAGCTGTCCCCTCTGCCTGGACTGTCCTTCCCTGTGGCTTGCTCCCTCTCTTCCTGCAGGTCTGACATTATCAGAAAGGCCTTCTTGGTGCAGGCTGTGGTCCTTGCCTAACAAGATGCCTTATCAGGAGGTGAGAACCAGCCTCCCCAGCCCTAGAAGTGCCAGTCCCACAGAGAGACCCTCCCCCTCCTCCCCTCAGGAACCAGCAGGGCCTGTCACCATCTGCTATGGTGGTGAGAGTTACCCCTCCTCGTTGCCCCTATTTCCTGGCCAGGCCAGGGAGGAGGGAGAGGGAGGTCAGTACTCAGAAGGAAGCCCTGCTAGGCGGAGGGGAAAGAGGGGGACGCAGCCACAGAGCCACCCCCTCCCCTCATAGGTCAGAGATGCTGCCTTGCCAATGTTCCACCCGTGCTGCACACCCCATAACCCGCCCTACTCCCCAGCAGGTTTGGTCTCTGGGTTTAGTGGTATGGGAGCTGTACTAGCAGTCTGGGAGATGGAGAAACCCAGGTTTCAGCCCAGCTCTGCCCCCACTCTCTGTGCAACCTCTCTGAGCCTTAACTTTCCCTCCTGGTCAATGGGAAGATCTGGAATGATTTGCAATTTAGTGGTCACAATAATTGGCCTTAGCTTCCTGCAGAGAAGCCAGGAGAGGTGACTAACGTCCCTCTCACCCCCAGATTCCCAGGAGTAGCCTAAGACGGTAGCCCCAGCCTCCCTGTGGCTGAGAGGGCATAGGGCCTGTCATGAGCTAGGGCTCCAGAAGAGAGGGCCCAGCAGCACAGCCATTGCCCAAGAGCTCTCCCTGACTCCCTGGCAGCCCCGGAGCCCAACCAGGCACTGTGCAGACCAGGCCATGAGTTGTGCCCCCTCCATGTCCTCTGTGTCCTCTACGTCCTCTGTGCCTCCCACTCTGGGACAACTTTCTGGGAAATAAAGCTCGCAGGGGGTTTGGCGAGAACGGCTCGTGCTTCACTTCTGGACATGAGGCCAGCTGCCAGGCTGGTGCCTCCTGGTGAGGCCTGCAGGCATGTGACCACTGGGCAGGCTGGGGCCAGGGAAGCCCTGGGCCAGGGCCAAGTGAGAGGCCTGGAGGGGCACAGCAGGCCAACCCTTCTGCCTTCCCTTCTTTCCTGCCTCTGTCTGGCTGGGAATCTGCAGGCCTCCTTCAGGGATGTCCCTGCATCAGGACTAACGTCCTTCCCCCTCCAACCCCCACCCTCCTGGGGCTGCATTGGAGCATTTATCAGGGAAGAGAAAATGCACATGCTGGGTTACATGTCGGGGAGTGAACTGTGGGTGATGGCAAAACCCCCTTAAGTCTCAGCTTCCACAGACTCGTCTGTAGGGGTGAGATGAGCCGGGGGGAGGGACTTCACTTCCCCTGAATGTCTCCTGTAGTCCTGGAGCAGAGCTTGGCACTTACTGATGGCTTGCTCTCTGTTAACCCCACCCAACACTTCTAGGGTGCAGAAACCTGTGGGCAATATTTCCAGGCTGGGGCTGGGCAGAGTACTGGCCCAAGACTACACCGTGGGTGGCCAGCAGGGCCGGCTGTGAGTCCTGACGCCCACCTGATCCCAAGGCCCCAACTCTCAGCTCCTATTAGTCAATACTTATATATAAAAGGGTTAATATCCCTAATACACAAAGAGCACTGCAATCTATAAACGTCACCACCATAAAGAGACATGAATGGAGGATTCACAAAAGAAGAAATACAAATACATGACATTACATACACATTTTGAACATCCGTAGTGGGATTCTACCCAGCCATTGAAAATGTTTCCAAACAGTTTTGGAAATGGTAGCTGGGCACAGTAGCTATTTGGTTTCTTTGACCTGAAAGGGTAACTATAAGAGGGTGTTCCCTACTTAGCAGGTACCTGTGTGCCTTGGTCTTAGCCCTTGCAGCCACCCCTGCTGGTAAGTGGCACAGTCAAGGCATGGGCCCAGCCTTGCCAGTTAGCAGAAGGTAAGGGAGCCCTTATGTTGAACTGTTTGCAGTTCATTGCCCTGAGTTTCTAGTCCGTTCCTGGCAGGGTCATGCTGCTCTGTCATAGCATCTACTATGTGCACTGTTCTGGTACTGGGGATACAGCAGTGATCAAAACAGACAAGAATCCCTTCTCTCCAGCAGTTGGAGCATCTGTGGCCCAGGGCAGGGGTCTGGGCCAGAGCTGGGAGAGCATGGGCCAGTGGGGCATCAGCACTGCCAGGGTAGCAGCCTGGGAAGCTCCTGGAAGATCTTGGAGGGTGATGGTGAGCCATCTCAGGGGGCTGGCTCTCTGAGCTTCTGTGACCCCAGAAGCAAGATGGCACAAACTCCCTTCCAGGCTGTGTATGGGGGTGCCATACCCAGACTAACCTATGTTGCTCTCCAGGCCCCAGGGAGATGAGGCAGAAACAACCAGGTAAGCACAGGAGGAGTGGATAACACCTGTGAGCACAGGAGTTCGAATCCTGCGTGGTCCAAGAGTACAGGACACATAACCTGGAAGAGCCACAGAGACCGCCTCACTCTCCCTTTCACAGCTGTGGAAACTGAGACACAGAGAAGGGAAGTTTCTATGATGATTTAGGAGCAAACAAAACAAGGGAGTCTGAAGGAGAGACGAGTTCATGTGGTGCAGGGCCCACACCCCAGGCCTCACCTTTTTCTTTTTCCGTCCCATCCTCTTGGGGGCAGGAGTGTTTGGCTTCGTTTAACAATCTTGGGGACCAGTACCTGGTATTGGTGGGTGATCAGGCATCAGTCCCGCCCAGATAGCGGGCCTGGGCGTCTTGGAGGTTTTGGGGGTGGTGAACAGTACGGGCGTCAGTGTGGTCTCACGGGTGCCGTGCACTGGCGCTGGGATCTGGACAGGGGAAGCGGGGGTGCGGGTGGGGGCTTGGAGTTTTCTCAGCGGGGAGACACCCTGTGAGTGGAGGTGCCGTGGCGGCTCTGGGCCATGGCCAGCTGGGCAGGGGGCAGCAGCTGGGCAATTGGCTCCTGGCACCGCCAGGAAGGTAAAGACAAGGGTGGCCTTCTCTCTGCCCAGACCTGGAAAGGCAGTGAGCTTTCCCACCCAGCTGGGTCACCTGGGCAACATTGTGTGATGTCACAGGGCAGGGCAGAAGTCACACAGATGCCTGTCCAGGTGCAAAGTGGGGGATCTGAAGCCTTTCTCCCTACTCCTGGAGCTGCATCCCACATGCTCTCCAGCACTCAGTCCTCATCCTTCCTGCTTTCGGCACCCCAAACAGTCCAGCAAGCAAGATTCGCCCCCTGCCCAGTGTGCCCATCCCCATGCTGGTCACACTACAGGAAAGGAGGAGACCCAGACGCTGCCTGCAAGGAAGTTGCAACTTGGTTGGTAAAACAGCTCTTTCTGGTGAAGAATTTGCGGCCATCCTCCCTCTTTGGGTGCCTATAGTCTTTCATTTGTTTAATAACAATAAGCACAAAATTCAAGAGAATGGTTTCCTCTTGGAGGGTGGGTGGGAAGATGGGGGAGAGAATGAGGAGTAAGCAGACATGTTGTTATTGTAACATTGTCTCTTAAATTGGGTGGTCAGTTAACGGGTGTTCATTATATATAAATAAATTATAAACAACTGAAGAGGGCCATGTACGGGTTAACAACGGTTCTAGGACATAGACCAAAGATTGAGATTACTCCAGTCCTGAGCTCCACAAGAAACTATCACAAAGAGAGCAATCCTTTTTCTTGAGCACTTACTACAGGCAGGTACTATGCTAACTGCTTTATGTGCAATGAGATGGGGGAACGAGGAGTAACTGGCCCTTGGCCTGGAGTGGGGTCTGCTCCAGGGGGCTTGAGGTCTGAACTGGCCTCGAAGGATGATCAGGAGTCCTGGGCTGGCAAAGGTGAGATCTGGGGTACAGGGTGGGGTTAAGGGGCGTCTGGGAGACCCCTGTGGCCTGCGTTATTCTTTTGCCAGCTGTCTTAGATCCCACGTTGAGGAGTCTTCCCATCTTCTGTGGTTTGGAGACCAAAGCAGGCCCACCCTGGCAGCAGGAGGCAGGACCCTTTTGCTCTGTGGAGGCCTCCTAGCTGCCCCCACCACCCCCGACTCCAGAGAGAGAGGCAGGGAGGTTGGGGTTCTCCCCAGTTTAGAGGCAGAAAAAGTGAGGCTTCGCCTTTGGTTAGAACTGAAAAGACCAGCTAATGTCACCCAGATGGCTGGGGATGGAAGCCGGGGGTCCCAGTTTTCTCCTGTTCCACACCTGCCAAGAGTGGTGCCCCTGGCTCCTGGGCCAATACTGTCACAGCCTGGCATGCGGGGGAGGGTCTCGGTAGATGGTTCCCGTCTGCTGAGCGCCTCCCCTTCTTCTCAGTCCCCAAGGTTGCAGCAGCAGTGGGGGGACCAGCGCTGCCCCGGTGCCCACAGGGGCCTTCCATGCCCCAGATCAGGGCTGGGGGAGGCCAGCAGGGCACTCAGGGAGCACACTCCACAGAGGCACTGGCTCTCAGGGCTATTCACACACTCCTGCCACCACACCTTCTTAAATTCAGCACCCTAGCCGCCTTGCCTGCCTCACTGTGGCCCCTGCCCTGCCCTGCAGATCTTCTCAGTGTCTGAGTGGTCTCCCTAGGGCCACCTGGGCTCTGGGCTCTCACCCATCTGCCCTACCTAGCATCTGAGCTTTCTGCCGCTGCAGCCCCAGCCCGTTGGCCTTCCTGCCCGGGAAGAAGATAATGCAATTGGGCGCTGGTTCCAGGCCGTCTGTCTCCAGAGCACTAGCAAGCCCTGCACGCTCAGCAGCCACGAGAAGGAGGGCCTTCCCACTACCTCACTTGCTGCTGCCCTCGACCAAGGACCCCTGGGACACTCACTCCTATGGTACAGTAACCTTCCCCCAGAACTGCTTCCTCCTCACGGGGAGAGGGCCCTCAGCCTGGGGGCTGGGTTTGGCTTTCCTCCTTAACAACACTAAGAAGCCCAGCTACTCTATGCCTCATTCCCCTTTCCCAGGAAGGGGGACTCCACCTCCCCCAGCCAAGGGAAAGGATCCTGCTCCCCAAATGTCCAGAGGAAACTTCTGCTCCCCTGCCCAGGGGCCAGCCCCAAGCTTTGATGACTCAGGGAGATTCCAGAGTGAGGGGAAGCAGGTAATGATTGATCTCACAGCTAATAGGTAACCCTCCCCTCCCCCAGGAGAGAGCACTTGATGCCGCCTCATTTGGTGGGGCCAGGGGTCAAAGGCAGCCCTTAGGGAGCGCTGGGCGGATCTGAGGCTGGCTCTTGGGGAAGGAGGGGTCCTGCTTGCTCCCTGGGCTTTGTGCTGGGCTTGCTGGGCAGCAGGAAGAGTCTGGGCAGACATGTTCACAGTCGTCCATGTTCCCTCAGGCGAGTCCCAGGGGCCCGACTATGTCTGCAGCAGGTCCTATAGAAGTGTCTTCCAGAGCCCCAAACTTGGCCTTCTTCCCCCTTAGTCCTGTCCCACACCCCTTGCCACCCCCCACTCTTCCCCCTCCCCTACTCTTCCACCCACCCCCACCATCACTTTCTCTCCATTTCTTCTGGGCAACTGAATTGGGCTTCCAGGAAAGAGAAGGGATGGATGAGGCAGGAAACTTAGTGTGATTTTGTAGCAAATGGCAGCTCATAGCTGTGCGATCTTGGTTCAGAATACTAACCCTCTCTGAGCTTTGGTTCCTTCCAGTGGGGAAATCAGGGCTGCTCTGACGACTATGAGATAATGCAGGTAAAACCCTTAGCACTGACCTTCAGCTAAGTGCTCCAAAAATGCTCACTCTCTTCCCTGCTAAATAACCTTGGACTTGGCAGGTTCTCCCCAGCAGAAATGGGCCAGAGAAGCAAAAAATGTTTTCAGGGTGCAGTATGCACATCTCCACCCAGCACCCAAGGCTCCACGCCCACCCCAGAGATTCAGCCCCTCTCTGCCTCTTCCCCAGACCCACTCTGTTCCTGGCTTCCAGGCCCGTTCCACAGCCTCACCTTTCTCCAGGCAGCCCCTGAGCCAGAAATGTCTCCAATTTGTCCTGAGGGTCCAACTCAAGACACTTCATCTGGGAAGCCCTCCCGACCCCCTTTGCCTCCTGCTCTGAACAGTCCTCTTTGTCCCTGGTGACACCTGCCTGTCTCTGTGCTGCCGAGTTCACTCCCAGTAGGTACTAAACCTGAGGCAGGGGAGTGGGACCTGGCCGAGTCCCTGCCCCTCCCCAGTTTCTGACACTTGTCAGCTGAGGCAGTTCTCCCAGAGGGCATCCAAGCTCCAAACGCCACTATGCCTCAGCCCCAGTGGTGTATACAGCAGGTGCTCACTCGTTGGATGAAGAATGGCAGACTCCAGGAGGGCCCCTTGTCTGATTACAGTGGTGAATCCGCAGCCTTCCTGGCCAGGACCTTTGTGGCTGCCCTGACCCCCCCAGTGCTTTGAGGCTCCCCTGGAAGCTCCTGCAGAGATCTGGGGGCCCACTTTGCCTTGTGCTTCAATTACGGCTCCCTCTGGGCCTCCCAGGGGCCAGTTCACGCCCTAGCCCTTAAGGTGCTGGGCTGAGTTTGAGCTCGAGTCACTGCAGCCAGAGCTCTGCTGGGGGCAACCTCTAAACCCCCTCTCTGAGGCTCTGTCCCCCAGCTGTCCTTCCTGTCCTCAGTTCTTCCCACACCAAAGCAGCAGCCCAAGGACAGGACCTTCTGCTTCCCCGAGGGAGTTCAAACTGGTGAGGAGGTGTGCGTGGCTGGAGTCTCTTTTCTCACCTAGGGTGCTGGCTGTCTCTCATTTGTACCACAGATCCACTCTCTCTCTTATCCACCTTGCTCTGTGCCCCAGGAGGTGACCCGTACAGCTACATCAGTGGGTTCTGGTTGGTTTGGGTTTATGAGAGGGCCAGCAGGGATCTAGGAAGCTCCCACCTAGCTGGTTCTCAGGGTTGGCTGGTCCCTCTAGCCAGGGCCACCCTGCCTGGCAGGCAGCACTCTCCATACAGTGGCCCCTCCAGTTGTGGTCCTCATTCCTCCTCTTGCCTGTTCAGGCGTAGGGGCAGTGAAGGCTCCTCTCACTGACCAGCCCCCAGGGTACTGCACCATCCCTCTAGTTTTTCCTAAACCTCACTCTATTAAACTCCCCTCCAATGACCGAATTTGAATGCCTTCATTTTCTTTCCAGGCCCCTGGCTGATGCACCTGCCGCATGAGCCCCTCTCTGTGGCTCTCCCCTGATATCCTGGCATTGCCGCCACCCTCACCACCAGCACCTTCACATCTGCTAACAGTTGGTGAGCACTAACTCCACGCCAGGTGCCATGCCCAGAGTTTCACCTGCACGGTCTCATTTAATCCTCATGCTCACGCTCCCCAGGAGTCACTGTTGTTACTTCATTTTTAAGATGAGGAAACAGATGCTCTGAGAAATGAAGGGACTTGTCTAAGCTTCGAAGCAGCAGAGTTGGGATCTGAGTCCAGGTCTGCTGGCTCCAAAGCCTGTGATCATAATTACCATGGCGTATTGCCTTTTCCTTTAATTCCAGGGAAAGGAGTCGCGTCTCTCTGTCCTTCACTCCTGAAACTGGGGCAACACGGGAAAGGCTGAGTCCAGAGATGACAACACCTGGCCTTTTGAATGAGGCCAGACAGATGGCTCTGTGACAGTACAGCCCACAGATATTAGAGTCAAAGGGGAGTGAGTGGAGCATCCTGAAGGCTCAGCTGGGCACAGCTGGGCCAGGCCCCCGTAAGCCAGGGCAGAAGCTGGTGTGCTTAGAAGAGGCCATTCTATCCAGCACAAATGGGTGGCAGGGTTGTTTGGTGGGGTCACACGCCCAGGGGCTATGACTAGGACCACTCATGGGCGCTTGCTCCTGGTTCCTTCCAAGCCCCTTGGATGCAGACTGCCTGCTGGCTGAGTGGGCCACACTGGGATCCTGGAGGTGCTGGGGGGCTGCCCTTCTGACCTTCCTCTGGTCCCTTGCTGTGCAGAGATGACCTGGATCAGCTCAGTCAACAGCTACTGGACTATATGCGTGATCCTCCATATTTTGTCACGGCGTACTTGATGGTCTCAACCCTGTCACTTCACCTTGTTCTTATGAGCTCTGGTCCCCCTGACCAGCCTGGCCCAGCACCACCACGTTGGGCAGCAAAAAGCATGATGGCTTGGAATCCACCAAGCCCCACAGTGAGCATTTGGGCAAGTCCCTGGACCCCTCAAGCCTCAGTTCCTCATCTGCAAAGTAGAGAGGATAATCCTCTCTTGCAGGGGAGCAGTGAGGACTAGGTGAGAGAATGGGTGCCTGGCACATGGCAGGTGGCACGGAAACGAGCCTCCCCTGCCGTCACGCCAGTTTATGGCGGTCTGGAGCCTCTATGTCCCCAGCTTTGCAACGGGAGACTCAGGGTGATTGCTAATGGGTGCGCTGGTCTCCCTCTTGGCTGATACCGCGTCCGTTTGCTCAGCAGGCACGTTTACTGATCACCATGTTGAAGGAGCCCTCTCAGTGTTTGGTAACCAGCGCTCTTGTTTGGGGCCACCCAGGTCCCACTGTCGTGTCATGAATCATTTTGCTAAAGATACAGCGTGACTTTGGGGCATTCTTCTTTTAAAAAATCAATAACTCATTAACAAGGGACTAAACAAATAAAGGGCAAGCAATGACAGCCATCTGCCAGGACCGTGCCAAGGCAGAGTAGGGGGTCCACTCAGGGTGGAGAGGCCTGGGGGGCAGTAGGCTCAACCAGTTCCCTCACCCCAGCTCTTACAACCCACAAATCTGACCAAGTCCCTCCCCTGCCTCATACAACTGCTCTCAGGAGAGATCCTCTCTCAGGAGACCCCTGCAGGCCTCACGGTCTGCTCACCCCAGCCCCTCCAGCCTCACTGCGGCTGGTCCCTGCCTCACACCTGCATTCCAGCCACACAGCATGCCTACAGCCCCCTGTATGGGCTCTGGTCTCTCCAGCCTTCTGGCCTTTACATGTGCTGCTCCATCTACCTGGACTGTGCTTCTCCCTCTGCCAGCCTAAATAACTCATGGTGCTTCTTCAAGACACAAATGGAATAAGCTCCAGCAAATTTCCCCTGACACCTTCCCCTACTGTCTCCACCCCCACCCAGGGGCATCGCATCCACAGCCCTGGATCTCCCCTTGCCCTGGCTCACGACCCACTATTGACTTCTCTGAGGCCAAGGACTGTACCTGGTGATCCCGTCCCCAGGGCCCAAGCTGTTACCTGGCACAGAGTTGGCACCAGCCGGGTGCTCACTGAATGAGTGAGGGATGACATTAGCATCTGATGCCTTCCTCCTCCCTGTTAGTTCCCTAGACACCCTACTTTGGCCTGGGACAGTGATGCTGGCTGCCCAAATAACCCTCTCTCCTCCTGAGTCCAAGCCCTCAGGGGCCCTCTCCCTCTACTAGGACATGGATAGTTGGTGTGTGAACCTCATAATAAAAGCTAACAACCAGCACTTGTGATGTGCCAGGCACTATTCCACGCATTTTCCACGTTGGTTAACCCAGTCCTCACAACTGCATTGGAGGGCGGGTCTACTGTAGTCCCCATCTTACAGATGGGAAAACAGAGGCAGAACCAGGAGCAGAAGAGCCAAGCTTTAGACCCAGGCCATCTGACTGCAGAGCCTGCGTTTGCAACCACAGCCCTCTCCCTTACTGAGGTGGGTTGTCGGGAGTCCGGAGTAGAGGAGACAGCCCAGAGACCCCACTGCCCGACAAGGCCTCAGGCGCTCTGCAGCTCTGCAGCGAGGATGAGCCTGCAGGTCCCAGGAGCTCCAGTTACAGGAAACTGCTTATTCTGGCCTAGTCGCCTGGGATCCCAATTCCCTCATCTCAGATTCCCTGCTCAGCGCCAGCCCCCGGCCCACGCCAGCCTCTGGCCCTAATCTCATTTGAAGCCATGAAATCGCATTTGCAGCGTATTAATGCAGCGCAGAGCTGGCCCAGCCCACCTGTCTCCTGGAGGACAGAGGCCCGGAGAACAAGCTTGAGGGAGGCGCCTCTGACACCGGCTGGAACACCCGCAAACAGCAATTAGGCTTGAAGAGGAAGATTAAAATAACACCCCCGCAAGGGCCTCTGCTCTACTGGCCCCCACCATCACCCAACAGTGGTTCAAGGGCAGGCTTCTCACACTGGCCACCCTTACCTCCCCGCCGCCCACCTGCCCTGGGCCCAAAAGAAACCACAGCTTTCAAGCATCCCGGCCTTTGCTAAGCTGCTCCGTTCCCCTGAGTGCAGCGCCCCGCCCGCCCGCATGTCTGGCCAGCTGCCATTCACCTGGCATCACAGCTGATGTTTCGTTAGCTTTTAGTACACATTCTTTAAATTGCCGACATATTCAATTCAACAATCCTGTCAGGGAAGTACTGTCCTCATCCTCATCTTACAGATGAACACAGAGGCCACGTCCCAGAGCTGGAAGGTGGCAGAATCCATGGTGCCTCCAGGTCTATCTGTATTCTGGAAGTCTTTGCGATCCTCTCTCCTCCTGCATGCAGTCAGGCTAGCATATTATTTAATCCTCACAACCACGCAGCAGAGTAAGCATCATTATCCCCATTTTACAGAGGAGAAAACAGAGGGTCAGAGAAGTGAAATGACTTGATCAGGATCACCTAGTATGGGGCAGAGCAGACATCTGAATTCATGCCTGAGTCGAACGTCCATGTTTATCTACTCCTTTCACTGCTCAGGGTGGGTATGGGCTTACTTCTGTGCTGGGGCTATTTATGCAACTCTTTTTTTTTTTTTTTTGGTGAGGAAAATTGTCCCTGAGCTAACATCTGTGCCAATCTTCCTCTATCTTGTATGTGAGATGCCACCACAGCATGATCTGATGAGCAGCATGTAGGTCTGCACCCGGGATTGGAACCCACAAACCCTGGGCTACCAAAGCTGAGCAGACGAAATTAACCACTATGCCACTGGGCCAGCCCCTATGCAACACTTTTTTCTTTTTCTTTCTTTCTTTCTTTCTTTTTTTTGTTGTGGAAGATTGGCCCTGAGCTAACACCTGTTGCCCATCCTCCTCTTTTTCTGTTTTTTGAGGAATATTAGCCTGGAGCTAACTGCTGCCAATCCTCCTCCTTTCACGGAGGAAGACTGGCCCCGAGCCAACATCCATGCCCATCTTCCTCCACCGCACATGTGGACGCCCACCACAGCATGGTGTGCCAAGCAGTGCCATGTCCGCACCCGGCATCCGGACCAGCAAACCCTGGGCTGCCAAAGTGAAAGGTGCGCACTTAACTACTGCGGCACCAGGCCGGCCCCCAATCCTCCTCTTTTTGCATGAGGAAGATTGTTGCTGAGGTAACATCTGTGCCAGTCTTCCTCTATTTTGTATGTGGTATGCCACCACAGTGTGGCTTGACAAGCAGTGTGTAGGTCCACATCCAGGATCTGAACCCACAAACCCCAGGCCGCTGAAGCAGAGCATGGAAACTCAATCACTAAGCCACCGGGCTGGTCCCGCAACACTTTTTTCTAAGTAGCATCAGCCAACTCTAGTGGGCCAGGGGGTTTGCCTGGGGACTCTGAGCCATTGACAGCCCCAACCCCAACTCCAGTCCTGCCCCCAAACCATCCAGTACAATGAGCACTCGCTGCTGGGGTCAGCTTAACACTTAGTAATCTGTCTTGGCTGGACTTGATATGATATGGGGCCACTAGGAAGAAAGCTGTTCCCCCAAAGTGCTTCCCCGTGATCCTGTCACATGGCCTAGAAAGCCCAGTAGAGTTTCGAGTTTCCTCGGAAGAGAATGCTCTAAGTCATCCCACCTCTATGCTGACTGCTGTACGAGAAAAACCAAAACATACGGTGGAGACCTGGGTTCCAGCCTGGCTTTCTACTGACTCAATGGGGAGCCTTGGGTAAGCCGCCCACCTCCTCTAGGGGCTCAGCTTCCTGCTCCAGAAAATGGCCATTATCAATGCTACCCTGCCCACCTCCCCGGACCCAGACGATGCTCCAGTGGGCTCTGCAGGTTCCCTCTTTGCCAGCCTGGCCCAGAGCAGCCCGGGCAAGTATTAGCAGAGGGCTCAGAGCCCTGGAGCTGGCATCTATCCTCCACTCCCTTGGCATCCCCTGCAACTCCCCCATCCCGTAAACATGCTCTCTCCACTTGATCCTTTCTCCCTGCTTGCTGTTCCCTCACACACCTCCATGTTCCTGCCTCCACTCCTTTGCTCACACTGTCCTCTCCTCTTGAAAACCACTCTCCTCAGTCTCCACTGGAATCCTCCCCATTCTCTGAGGCAGGGAGCAGATGTCCGCTGACATCTGTGAGGTGGGTTTTAATGAACCAAGCAATTTCCCACCCTCCTCCTCACGTGAGCCTCACACCCTCCCCATCAGTGCACACTGCTCTGCTTATCGTGCAGGCGAGGAACCTGACGCCCAGGGAGGTAAGGGGTTTGCTCCAAGTCAAACAGCTCTTATGCAACTGTGAAACGGGATCCTAAACCAAGGTCGTTGACTCCCCGCCAGAACTGGTTTTCCTACAGCACACTGAGTCTTTGATGACCATCCAGCTCATGCCCATCACTTCCTCCACAAGTCCCAGGAGCCCTCACAGTCAGCTTGGAAAGTCATTGTCCTCCAACTCCTCCTATTTCCTCTCCTTGCCCAGCCTGCCAGCTCCGCAAGGGCTAGGGGATACAGCTCCCTCGTTTACTGCTGGGGGACTGGATAGATGATGGACAGGCAGGTGGATGGATGGATGGATGGATGGATGGGTGGGTGGGTGGGTGGATGGATGGATGGAGGAACACCCGGGCCGAGGAGGTTGGACCATTGGACTCCAGGGCTGGCTGTCAGATCCAGATGGAAGAAGGGTATCCCCCACTCATCTTCCATCCATCCTAGGATGGGGCTGGTCCCTGCTGGCCTCAACTGCTGCTGAGCCCAGGGACTCTGCAGAACCAGCCGAGGACTCAGGCTGTGGCATCTCCGCTGACTCCTGACAGGACAACCCCTGACCAGGACCTGGGCAGTCCGACAGGGGCTGTCAGCCTTCCCTCCCTGCTGCCCTTCCCCATCTGCTGTTTGATTAAAGATCAGTTATTAAAGCTTGGTTTGGCATGGGGTTTTAATTTCACCTCATACATCACACATGCCTCATCCCTGAAGCCTCTTCCTCCTCTGGTAGAGGCTGTACTTAGGGGGTTTGTATGGAGATGAAACCAGGGGGGCCCAAGGAGGTGTGGGTCTGGGTGTGGGAGCGTGTGTGCCTCATGGTGTCCATCAGTGAGTCAGGGTGACTCTCTCTTTGTGATGGGGGGGTGTCTCTGCATGTCAGGCTGTGTGGGTCTGGGTACACTGCACATATGTGTTCCTGTGTGTCTGCATGACGGGGGCTGTGTTTCAGAGTCTCTGTTCGGGGTACATCCTCCGTCCAGGGGTGTAAGTGAAGGAGAGAAGAGGGAGATGACCCTAAAAGGCCACAATAATTGGACCCTCCCTCCTTTCCCTGTGAGGTGATCTTTGGAGATGAGAAGACCACCACGGTGCCCTGCCCTGGGGCCCATCGGCTGCTCTCTGGGGCTGGCTGGGAGGATGTCAGAGGTGGGTACCCCTTTTCTCTCCAAATCCCCCTCACCCACCCCCCCACACACACACCACAAATGCACACGCACAGGGCCTCCAGGAGGTGTGAGTCAGCAGCAGGCCCTGGGCAGAGTAGGGGGAGGCAGGGATGGGGGAGGGGCAGCAGAGCTGTCTGGTGTGCTCCTTACAACAATCTGCTAATGGGGCCTCCTCCCAGAGTAGCCCTCCTGCCACCCCCCCACCCCCACCCCTCCACCCCAAAGCCTGAGACAATGGGGCTCACAAGTTCTCCCCCATACCCCTCCCCTGGGAGGCCAGCTTGGCAAGAAGGAGCAACTCCATTGTCTAGGTGCAGAAACTGAGGCCAGACCCACTGCTTAGCCCAATGTAGACGTCTAAACTTGCTACTGGAACTGCAGGCGTTTATTAACCACTTCCTGCAGGGCTGGGGGAACCATAAGCCAGTGCGTTTAATCCTCCCAGCAAGACAGACCACAGGAATTGCTCTCCCCTATTTTACATATGTGGAAATGGAGGCTCAGGGAAGTTATGTCACCTGCATAAGGTTGCACAGCTCCTAAATAAATGCCACAGACTGCTCGGAACCCAGGTCCACCTGACCCCAGTGAACTGCCTCCCACTGTAAGCTGGCTGAACCCCAAAACTCTCCTATACCCCACCCCACTGAGCTCCCAGCCCTGACCCTGATAGGACTCCAAAGGCATATACAGACAACTTGGAAACCACGCGGGGTGATGATGAAGAGACTGGCTTGGGCAAGGACACAAATATGGGACCCCCCCACCCCCCGAAACTTATATATTTTCAGGTCTTATCCACTCCGCCCAGGGACCTCTGAGGTTTCCTTTTAGGTCTTTCTCCTAAAAGAAAGTCTTCAGTGCCACTGAGGTGGAAGTGGGGACAGCAGGCGGCCTGCAGGGTAACTGTGGTACAGGACATTTAGCCAACGGCCCTTCTCTTCCTGAGAGGGGCTGGCCACATCCCCCAGCCCACCCTCCTTGGGGCCAGCCCCACCTCTCCTGCCAGCCTCAGCCCTCCGCCATGGTGACGAGTCTACACCCCTCCCTGCCTGGTGACAGTGCTCTGGGAAGCCTTGACAGTGCCTTTGTTCCCCTGAAATAAAAGAAAATCGAGCTACAAAGGGAAACCTCAGGTAGCTTTTAACGGGCTCAGCTGCCTGGGGCAGAGTGTGTTTAAGCTGGAGGCAGTTGTCACAGGAGCAGAAGGGGGAGCCGCCCAAAGTCCCCCTCCCACCCCCCTCGCCCCTGTGATCAAGTTTACTCAAGGAAAAGTCCCTTCCAAATAGCAGCAAAGGAGAAAATCAATGAAAATTGGTAGAGAAATGCAAAGCAGCTGTCCGCCGTGCGTGCGTGCGTGCCTGTGTGTGTGTGTGTGTGTGTGTGTGTGTGTGTATTAGAGACAGGCTGGACCCAGGCTGACCTGCTCAGGGCCGAGGCCGAGAGGGGTGGGCTGGGAGTCACTCCTGCACGTGCTGGGGGAGGGGCGCTCATAGCTGGGGGAGGGGCAGCAGCTGAGTCTCTCACTCGAGTTAAGAGAGAGATTAATATATTCAATCCACTCTGGGTAATTGAGGGAACAATTGGAGTGTTTTTCTAAAGCCCATAAAACTGCCTCATTTGCAAAGAGGAGCTAACCTGCTCATATCTTCTGTATTTGACGGAGCACTGGAAGGGAGGAGGAGGGGCGACACGTCCCAGCACAGAGGGACTGGGGCGTTAGGGAACTAGCCGTCCTGGTCTAACCTGTGCTCGACTTTCCCTTCTCCCACCACTCTGTCAGCAGCGTCCAGGCATTGCCTCCCAGAGCCTCTCTCCCCACCTGTGAGACCCCCGCCACAAGGAGAGTGGGAGGGAGTGACAGAAGGCAAAGCTTCACGAGATGAGGGAAGCCGACAGGGACTCCAGAGGTCTGGTACCAAGCGGAAGGGAGAGCAAAGAGGTGCCCAGCTCCCCGCCCCCACCAGAGATGAAAGGGGCAGTAAAGTTAATGAGATCCACATTGTGGGCCTTTCCCCGCCTGAACCATTCCAGTCTCCAGGGCAATAGAAATAGTGTATGCAATAGCGAGCAATAAAAGGCATAATGAATTTAAAAGCAGAGCAAAGAGGGGAGGAGAATGAAGATCCGGAGTGCGCTGGCCAGCTGACCGGCAGGAAGATGCTTAGGGGCGTGAGAGGGCAAGGCTGGAGCTTCAACCAGAGAAGGACTGAGAGAATCACAGAGGTGGGCAGGGGAGGGGAGGGAGGAAGGGGGAGGGGAGGGGAGGAAGGGGGAGGCAGGGAGGCAACAAAGGGAGAGAGAGGTGGGGACAGAGTTTAGGGACAGAGGGCAGAGGGGAGCTAGGCAAACCCCTGACTGCTCTGTTCCCCTCCACTTCTCCTTAATGGAAGCCCCCAGCCTATTGGTGCCAAAGCCACAGTCAGAAGCCACAGGCTTAGAGCCAGGTGCTCAGCATTTGGTGATTGCTTTATTAGCTTTCCCTTCTCTTCTTTTCCCCTCCAGGGCAAAAAAAAAAAAAGTGTTTTAAATGGAAAGAATAAAAAAAAAGACCCTTGAAAGCATCATTTAAAAGGCTCTGGGGAATGGAATCGTTTCCGTGAAACAAAACTGCGATTGTTTGGAAGAGGTGAATGTCAGGGAGGGAATGGGGGAGGGCGGGCAACACAGCCCTCCTCCTCTCCCCTCCACTCTGAGCCCTGCGGGAGAAGCTCTGGGCCTAGAGGGAAGGAGTCCCCAGGATGGCTCCCAGAGCTGCAAGCAAGGAATTTTTAAGTTCATCTTCCCAGAAATTTCATCACTGGGAATTTCCAGCCAAAAGTTTCCCTCTTAAACAGTCCTGCCTGTGGGAGGTTGTCTCTAAACCTGCAGGATCTCTTGGAGAGGTGAGTGAGGTACCAGGAGCAATGTGGCCCCTGAAGGCCCTGCAGCTCCAGACCCAAGGCTCTTGTGGTCTCCCCCTGCCCCCCAACCCTCCAGGAGGCCACATTCACCTTTAAAAGAGAGGAGTGGGCCCCCCAGCCAGCCCAGCAGCCCGGCTTTGGCCTGCACCTCGCTGTCTCCTTCACCCTCGGGACCCACTCTGCCCCCTCTGCACTGGACAGGCCACCCTCATTCTGGTCGGATAGACTCCCTCTTCTCCTGGGAAAGGAGGGCCTTGGGGTCCCTGGGGTGGCACAGCCATGTGGTCTCAAACCTGCCAAGGGGCGAAGCAGGGAGCTTCAGGGGACAGGATGAGTCTGCCAGAGCTGTGCCCGGAAAGGAGGCCTGGAGCTGGTTCCCTCCCATGCTTGGTAAACATCCTCTGCAGCCCCTGCCTGCATGTCCCAGCCCCCCACTCATGGGTCAGGGGCCAAGAGGGTGATCTCTATCCTGGAGTCTGTGACTGTACATGTTGGAAACATCCTGGGGCATATGTCCTTCATCCCCCTCCCCAACACACACACGCAGAGGAGGCAACTTGAGGACAGCAGAAGGGAAGGCATTCACTGTTCATATAATGTTAGCTCAAGGGGAATTGATTGTTCCAGCAGAGTCTCCAGGATTCTGGAAAGGCTGGGACCAGCACTGGGGAGGCCATTAGGACTATGTGACCTGTGGGGCATGGCTGAAAAGCAAAGTGATTCAGATTCAGTCAGCCATTGAAACTCACTCTAAGCCCTGCCTCCTGCTCACTACTCATTCTTCATTGCATTCCTAATCCCCCTGCCCCCCTGCTCCACTGTTACCCTACTCCTCATCCCATGACCCTCATCAGTTGTGCTTTTTAAAAATGATGTACAAGTTGGAGAACAACTTGTGAGCTTACAATAACGTTCTAAATTGAACAGATTCAATGGTTGAAATGCCTGATGCAGACAGGACTGAGGATAGTTTGGAAAAGACAAGATCAATGCAGGGAAGGCAGCCTTGGGTCTACTCATTCCTGGCCTTGAACTGAATATGGCTGAAGTTGGGCTGCAACCAAGAATGCAATTCCCTCCTCTCCTCTCCATCCTTCTTGCTTGCTACCTTTTCTTCTCACTACCCAGACCTACTCCCCTTTCAGATCCCTTTCACCTCCTCTTCAGCTGAGAACCAGAGAGAGCTGGGTTAAGTCCTTCCCTCATTTTCCCTATCTGCAAGGAGGAGAGGGAGGATGATTTCAAGGGTCCCTGTGGTTCTAGGCCACATCCACTTCCCCAGGGAGCTGGCCACAGGCCCAAAGGATAGCATGTGGCCCCAGTCCTCACTGAGAGCCTGGTTTTGCTGCTGCTCTTCCACCTGTGTCTTTGGACCCCCAAGTCGCAGCACCAGAAAGGTGCCTGGCTTCCTCAGGCTGAGCCACTGGATGAGTTCCCTTGACCTGAAAGAAACAGTCCTCTATTCTCTGAAGGACTCCTCTCCATTGTCTGTTCCCCCACCAGCTTCCCGGCCCTGTAGTCAGGGTTGTGATTGCTGACCCCCAGGGGGAAGCGATTTTCCTCTCCCTTGAAAGCCATTTTCTTGTCTTGGTAGAAGCAGACATCTGACACTTTGAGAGGGAGAATGGCAGGGAGATGATGGCGTTAAATAACAGAAATTAGAGCTGCTGAGGATGGCTCAGTCGTCCCAAGGTCCCCCTTCCCTGCAGCAGCCTCCCCCTCCCTTGCATGCATTCAGAGCTGCAGCCTGCAAAGAGCTGTCCACATGGCCCCTGGCTCAGGGTGGCCAGGGCATGCTGGGACCTGGGGAGCAGGCGACCTCTTCTCCCTGAGCTCTGAGCCTCTTGCGTGTCTAGTCCTGTGACAAACTGAAGGACAGAGGGGCCAGGGGCCAGGCCCTGAAGTCAGGCAGCTTGCACTCTGAGGGAAGAGAATGTCATGTAGGAACCCAGGTACCATCCGTCTCACTCACAAACCCACCACTGTATCCTCAGCACCCAGCACAGAGGTGGGCATGCAATAGTGGTCAAAAGTATTTGTCGATTGACTGACTAATGAATGAACGAACAGAGGTGAAAGTGGTCCATATAACAGGCTGAGACCTGGGCAAGAGAAGCTGGCCCCTGGGTCCCTGGTCCATCCTTCTAGTTCTCCTGGCACATGCTGCCAGATCACTGTCTAAACCACAGCTCACATCATGTCCTTCTCCTGCACAAACCCCTCTGGTGGTCCCCCATTGCCTCCTGAATTGAATAACCACCCAGCGCTTTTGCCACTGTACCCTGACTCCCTCCTCTTTCTCTCACCTATCAGCTCTCTTCTAGGCTGACTCAGCCCACCACCCTGGGCTCCACTTCAGCCCCAGACCAGCGCTCTGCTGGGAGAGAGGTGCTGCAGGAGAGCCAGGTATCTTCTGCCTGCAAACTTTTGGTTTCAACCTCAGCTCCTGCTGCTGCCAGCCAACCCTTTCCTTCTCCTCAGTCAGCTTATTCTTGTCCCTCCTCCTGGAATATCCTCCTCAAAGCCTAGAATGCCATCCCTAAATCTTACCCACGTAGCATGGAGTCTGACAGAGTTAGCATTTAACAAATGTTTGATGGATAAATGAGTGAATGAACGAAGGAATGAAAGATTCATCTCAAATGGCATCTCTTCTGAAAAGCCTTTCCTAGGGTGCAAAATCAGACCCGCCCACTCCCTCACTAGAGCTCTCCTTCCAGCGTATGCCTTACAGGACCATATGATGCCCACGTTGTGCCTGTCTTCAAGTCAGGTGGCACCTTGAGCCCAGGGACTGATATAGCTTTGGATTCCATGCACTAAGGTCCTCAGGAAATATTGTACGCATTAAATGGAATCAAGCATCCTTGGGGATGATCCTCAGTTTCTCCACCTGTGAAATGGGCTGCTACTTGCTCTACCAGTTTCCACCTGTACCGGCTGTGAGGCCCACCAGACACACTGCCTGGTTGCAGAGCACGGCCACAATGGGGAACCCTCCTACAGCTTGGACAAGGATTAGATTCCTTCACGCGGGCCTGAGGCTGCCGGGGCCCAGATTCAGGGCCGAGTCCCTCCTGGCTGTGGTGGGAGCTGAGAGGGCTGGAGGGTGGACACAGAGATTTCCGTCTCACGGTCAGTTTGGGCCTCCCTCAAAACCTGGTGAGAACATGTGAGATTGAGTTTGGGGGCTGAAGGGTCCCAGGGGACACTCACCCACTGGGCAAAAGAAACCCTACCCAGTTGTGTCTCCACTCTGTGCGGCCTTTGTTCCCTTCTCTGTCTCTCCCTTCAAAGTGGGACTTGGTGTGTCCATCCTCAGGCTGCACATTCTCCAGAACTGACTGAGGCAACCTTGGGAAATTCTGCCGCTCTGCTCAGTGAAGGAATGGGGACAGCCAGGCTCATCAGAAATGCTGGGTCTTCTAACTGGGGAACAGGGATGCCAGAACCTGAGCTGGGACCCAGGTCACCCACCTGCAGCCTGGGCAGCTGGGGCTCTGGGCGTGGTGATGTCGGTTCTGGCTGGCCGGTGTCCAGAAAACAGCTGGAGGAGGGAGGCTGAGGGGCCCAGTGCACGTGGAAGGCCACGCTGTAGGCCAGGCCCCCGCAGTGGCGGGCCGTGGGGTCGGCGCTGGCCCGGAGCAGAGCCAGCCTGCCACAGTAGCGGTACAGATCCTCATGCTCCAGCGCGGAGACGTTCATGCGTGGGTGGTCTGGGCGTGGGTAGATGGGGAAGATGGCCTCGCCCACCCGCTGGGCCGGGCTTCCTGAGGCCCCGCCCAGCCTCAGTGCCTCCACCCGCAGCTGGGCATCATGCTGCCCATCGTTCTTGCAGAACCCTGGGTGGGGAGAAATGGAGCTCAGGGACAAGCTATGGTCTCCCTGCCTCCCCCAGCGGGTGAGGAGGACAGGCATGGGCTGCCTGGCCTTTATGTTGAAGTCAGGCTTGGCTAAGATTTCCCTGGTGGGTGACCGCCCCACAGGCCCCAGCCCCCGCCACCTCCCTTTACTGAAGGGGGAGAGGAGGGCTCTTAGCCTGTGAGGTGGTCCTAGGTCCTGCCACCCAGAGGGAAGAGTTCAACCCATCCCTGATCTCTGGCCACCTGAAGTCCTGGGACTTGGTTTCCCCATTCCCTCATATGCCTCCTCCTTCAGGAAGCCTGCCTGGATGGCTTCACAGTCTAGGCATGGATCTTCTGCTCCTTCCAGATCACTTAACTGTTCTCTGGGATTCCTGCCTCACCACCTGATCTGGAAACTTCCTGAAGGCGGGGCCGGGGTCTCCACCTCTCTGTCCACCCTCATACCCACAGTGCAGTGGTACTCAGGGCTGGACACTCAGGGTGCCAGCTCTAATGGTGCTCAGTGTGACATCCAGTGGGACTGTCCCCACACCTGCTGTGTGCTCAGCTCTTGTAAATTCATAAAGCCGTTCCTCATCTGTCCTTTTACTTCCTCCTCACCTCACCCTGTGTGGCCAGCATCAGCATCGCCATGTCACCCTGAAGGAGGCAGGGGCTCACAGAGGGCCAGCATTTGCGCACGGTCACACTGGCAGAGCTTCGGGATTCAGTCTAGAGCGCTGACCTTGCCCCTCCCGGTTTCTCTGAGGCCCCCTGGGGTCCCTGACAGGGGCTGGGGCAGGAATTGGAGGGTCCTTCTCTCCCCTCAAACCCCACCCTTACTTCATACCTTTGGGCAAAGTGAAGACAAACTTTCTCCTGGTGAGGGTGAGGCTCTGGCCAGGATCCTGCTGCTCAATGACATCGGTGACAGCAGAGCAGGCAGGGAAGGGGTCCCCATCATTTACCTGCAGCTGCACCCCAGCCCCAGAGCTGGCCTGCAGGGGGTTCTCAACTGACAGCTGCAGGGCGTATCTGCCCTCCTCATTAAACCCCACACTCAAGACCTCGAACTCCAAGTCCAGTGTCTTCTCCTCGGCCCTTAGCCTCTGGCTCAGCTGGCCTGCAGGGACCCAGGGTTCAGGCCCCCTGTAGGCCGTGGCCATGTCAGGGACGGACCCCCCGGGCTGAGCACGGCCCACAGTCCCAGCCTGGGCCCAGTCTGAAAGCCTACACGCTGGGTGCTCAGGGCCGCACCCACCCCTCTCTGTTTGTTTGGAACCCAGGTAACAAGCCAGGAAGCTGGGTCTGCCCTGGGTAACAAAGGCAGCCATTGACCCCTCCCTTTTAGGCGGGATTTTGTTCACTCAACAAATATTTATTGAGCATGTACTGTGTGCCAGGCACTATTTTAGGCTTTTGGAATACAGCAGCGAACCAAAGATTTCCTGCCTTTCTGAAGCTTATCTTCTAGTAGGGGAGGGAGGTGGGGACAAATGAAAATAAGCTCTAAATATAGAAAATAAGTAAATTGTAATGTATGCCAGAAGATAAGTTCTATGGAAAAAATTAGAGCAGGGTCAGGGATGAGGTGAACTGGTGTGAGGAGTACACGGGTGAGGACCACATGCCTCTTCCTTCCCAGGAGGTCTTGAGTTGGGTGCAGGGGTGCATCTCAAGGGAAGAGTGTCTGTTCCTCAGGAGCATGCCCATAGCACCTGCTTCTGGAACCAGTTTACCTTCTTATTCAAAACTCATAATATGAGGCACAGCTTCACTTTACAGAGAGCTCAGAGCTTCTTATACCAAAGAGTTGTCAAGCTGGAACCCATCCTTCCTGATCTTGGGTCTTGCTGATATCCAGTGGGGGAGGGGAGATTCTGGACACTCTTCATAAGAAGATCTCTACCATCACCACCACCATTACCATCTCTACCACCACCATCATCACCACCAGGACTCTCACCATCACCACCACCAGCACCATCACCACCATCACCTCCATCACCATCATTCTCATTCTTATCCAGTATCATCATCATCATCATTTATGATACTCATCATTGAGCAGCTACTGGGTGCCAGGCACTCTATATGGCTCCTTGAGGTAAATATAATTATCCCCATTTTACAGGTGAAGAATTTGAGGCTGAGAGAATCTCAGAATACATGGCTAGCAAGAAGCAGAGCTGAGATTTGAACCTAGAGAGTCTAAGTCCATCTATGCTTTCTCCTACTAAACATGTCCTGGGACTGGCTCAGAGATTGAAATTCATACTCTTAGGGACTTTTATACCCTAAAACTGTAGAAGTACAGTTCTGAGTCTAAAGAGTACATTTGTGGACAGCATAGATTTCATTGAAAAGAGTTCATTTGAAGTCATCTTGACTAGAATGCATCATTTTCATAAAGTAAGAGAGAAGCAGTCTAAAAATGGTACTGGCCAGCCCAGCCAAAGACTTCCTCTGGAATAATTAAAATTCAGTGTCTTCAGGTCCCCCGTGGAGAAAGTGAAGCAAACAGGCTTTAGAAGACCAGGGTTCTAGTCACCTGACTTGCAGCTCCCTTTCCCTCTCTGGGTGTCAGAGGCCCCATCTGTACAATGGGTGGGAGTCAGGTGGATGAGTCTTCCCACAGTTCTGGCAGTCTGAAATTCTGTAAGTCATATTGGGAAAGGCCACAGTCTGGCCATTTGGGGAAGAGGGTGGGTGGCAGAGGTTCCCTGGAAACCTTTGCCTAAACTGCTACGCCTGGCCCACCAGCCTGGGGCCCGGGGCCATGGTTTGCCTCTTCTGGGTCTAAGGCCTTGGACATCCAGTGATTCCGTGGAAGGGGCTCTCTTCCTTTGCATGTTTGTAGTGACCTCCAGAGATGTCACAAGATGGGAGTCACTTCCCCTGCCCGAGGGCCAGCCTCTGTGCACTGCACCCGGCCCCACACCCCTGCAAACATCCCCATGCGGGCAACCCTTCTTCCTAGTAGGTTTGTCCCGAAAGTGGAGGCTAACACTCCTCTCTTCCCCCCAGCTTCCTTCTTTCCCTCCCTCGAACTTTCTACAAAGGAGCTGAGGTGACTGTGTTGGTCTTAGCATGTTTTGAGGGCCCTCCACATCTGACACCCCCAGGCCTCCCATTGCTGGCCTCCCCTCCCCCACTCAGTCTCTGGGGAAGCCTCATTTTTTTGGTGCGTGTGTATGGTTACTTTTTTAAAAGTGGTGGTAAAATATACATAACATAAAGTTTACCATCTTAACCATTTTTAAGTGTGCAGTTCAATAGTGTTAAGTATACTTACATTGTCATGCAACCAAGCTCCAGAAGTCTTCATCTTGTGAAACTGAAACTCTATGCCCATTCAACAGCAGCTCCCCGTTTCCCTTACCCTCAGCCCCTGGCAACCACCATTCTATTTCCTGCCTCTAGGAATATGGCTACTCGAGGCACCTCACGTAAGTCGAATCACACGGCGTCTGTCCTTTTGTGACTAGCTTATTTCACTCAGCATGATGTCCAGGGAAAGCTCGCTTTTGCCCAGGCCAGGCCTGCCCTGTCTTCCCTCTCTGCCTTTGCAGGTGCTGTTTCCTCTGCTCAAACTGCCTGGTCCCACCTGATGTCACCTTGCTCATCCTCCAGACTGGCTAAGAGACTCTTCCTCTGGAACAGGGTTAGTGACTCCCTCCTCTGTCATGCTCTGCACCTTCCTCTCCCGTCTCAAATGACGATTTGCCCACACTCAACTGAACATTCCTTCAGAGATCATCTCTGTGTGCCCAGGACAGGGCTGGCCAAGGGATAGGTGACTGGGGGACCATTAAAGCCTTTTAGAATGAATGAATGAGTGAATGAATGAATGGAAGGATAAACGAATTGATGGCCAAACCTGACCCAGCTTCTGCTTGTGCAGAAAAGAATAAGAAGTGGTTCTTCTGGCTATTTCATCTGGGTTCCATCTGTGAGAAGTGAAGACCCTTTTGGGCTGTTGACCCACACTTGGACTCAGAGATGCATCCTGGTGCCTTGGTGGGCTGGCAGGTGCTCAGGAGGGAGGGCAGCAGCATGGTGGGTAAGTGGCAGGGCAGGAGGCAGTAGTTCCTAATGCTCAGGCTTCTTTGGGTCTGATCTCAGTTCCACAGAGAAAGTCTGGGGACCTCAGTGAATTTTAGCAGGTCAGGACTGGATAGTACTCCCATTCTACAGCTGGAGAAACTGAGCCCAGAATAGCAGAGCAGAACCGGATCCCTACTCCCTTCCTAGGATTTGCTCCACTCCCAGCTGCCTCCCTGATTCAGCCTCCTGTGGTTTTCAAGGATTAAACTCCAGGCAGAGGCCTAGCTCCCACAGGAGTCAAGAAGGGGTGGGGTGTGGGGTGAGGAGAGGAGGCAACAGACCTCGGCAGTCCCAGCATGAAAGGCCTTAATGGGGCCCTCGAGTCTTCTTTCTTCCCTGGAAGAATCACCACTCAGAGGCCACTGCTTTGTCTGGAAGAGACTGGGCCTGTAATTAGCCCACCCCAGAGGGCCCTTCCTGCTTCCCACAATGGCTTCCTTCAGCCTCCCCCGCTGACACCCCTCACGGCTCCTGGGGGCCCTCAGACCTCCATCCTCAAAGACCCATCTCCAACTCCTTCTCACCTCACCCCACTCCCTGTGCGCAGAGCTGAATGCTCCCCGCAGGGACATCTATGAGTTTCCTGGATCCTCCCAAGGGCCTGGGGGCTGGGACTATTATCCCCTCCTACAGACAGGGAAACAGAGGTGAGAGAGATCTGGTGGGTGGGTGAAGGGGTGGACCTGGACATCAGGCCTCCTGATTCCCAGGCCAGTGTGATCACATGATCATCACGGCTCCATATGAGACTTCCGTACCCAGCCCCCTCCAGCAGCCTCCTCCCCACAGTGGAAGCGTCCCAGGCCCGCACCCCACCCCCTTCAAGTCCACAGTACTAGAGGCTCACGGGGTGATAGAATCGCAGACTCAGACAGGCAACGTGAAGCCCAGCAGCCAGCCTCTCTCCATTGCACAGATGGGGAAACTGAGGCCCAGAGCAGGGAAGGGCCTCATTCGTGGTCACTCAGCTGGTAAGTGGTAAAAGCAAACTGAGAAGCCTGGTCTCTTCCCTCCACTGACTGTGGTGCTTAGGGCCAGGGCCTGGCTCCCTTGAAGCTCTCCTCTCTGAGTGGTGACTCTGATCTAGTCCCCATGCCTCCGGCCCCATCAGGAGCACTGTCAAGAGAGTCTCGGGTCATGCCCAAAGCCCTCTAGCTCTGGCCTTCAGTCAAGCAGGAGCTGGGGCTGCCCGCGTGATCCCTGAGCTCGCCCTGCCAGCCTCCCTCAGAAGGGATAAAGTTCCTGGGGTGGCAGGAAGGAGAAGGAGCCAGACTCTTGGGCAGCATCGGCAGCACTGACCTTTGTCTTCTGTGTGCCCAGGTGCCAGTTGCCCAGCTGCTCCGCTGGCTCTAAGGACTCAAGACCCTACAGACTGTGGGGGTTCTCAGAGCAGTGCCAGTCCTCCTACAGCGCCAGAGACAGACAGGGAAGGTAAGGGGGAGAGAAGGGGCAGGAGCTGGCAGGGGCAGCACCAAGTCAGCACACAACACAGCCCAAGAAAAGGTACCACCTAAAACCTTTAGGAGGAGAGACAAACTTCACAGTCAGGCTCAGAGACAGAAACAGAACAAAGAGCAGGAGAGAGAAACAGAAAGGCAAAGACTGAGTATAGGGAGAGACACAAATCAACAGAGAAAGAATGAGGCAGACACAGAGAATTAGAAGGAGAGACAGAAAGATAGGAGACAGGCAGAGTGAGTCAGACAGAGAGAGTGTGGCATAGAGGGAGACAACAATAAGGATGGAAAGAGAGAATGATGGACTGGGACAGACAGGCAGACAGAAGGGCAGAGAGATACAGAGAGAGAAAGAAGCCAAATTGCAGATACTGACAGACAGACCCACCAGTGGGCACCGGTGGGCAGAGTTCTACTGTCTTATCAGACCTAATGCTGAGGGCTGTGTCCCAGGCCTGCCACTTAACCAACTCTGGGGGCCTTTTCCCCACCCCCAGGCCTGGGCCCCAGAGGGGGTCCCCCAGCCACAGAATGGAGCAGCGTCCAAGCTCTGGGAAGGGTGGTTTCTGGTGAAAGAGCCATGAGCTCTACGTGTGCATGCGAATGAAGTGGTGGTGGGAATCTCTGGCAAAACTTCTCCTAGCTCAGTCACTGCCCCTGGCACACCATGTGGCCTCTCTG